AACGAAAGCCTCGTTATGCTGGCTTTGGTAACTTGAAGCAAGGCATGAAACCTCCCCTCCATCACGTGCCAGAAAGACTTCACTTTTCCGTCTGCCTTTACCGGCTTAGCTGCTCGGTCCTGTGCGAACCGTGCCGGCGGATCCGGGTAGCCGAGGATGATCCGGGCGTCCTGGCCAAGTGACTCGCAGGAGTGCACTGCCTCGCACCGCAAGACGAAATGGACCGCCTAACAATGATACTTAGGGTCTAGGGTTTAGGGTTTAGGGTTTAGGGCCCCGCCACCACACATTACCAAAATCCGCTGCACTTGGCGCCTGGGCGGGATAGTAGTGAGGCAGGCACTGACTGCAGGAGGACTCCACCGAACGTGCTCCAATGCCTTGAGCTCTTCACACTCTTGCCGAGTCACTCCCTAGGGCCCTAGGGTTGAGGGAAGTTTAGGGGTTTAATCCCTCGTACCTGTGCAACTGCAGAGCTCGTCTTCTCAAATTCTGAAGGACTGCTGTTGCTGCTGCTGCCGCCGCTGGTCGCATCGGCAGTGGCGGCGGTGGTGCGACGATGACAATCACGATGGAGATAGCTACTGTAATATTCTTGGCGGCGACGATGATGACGATGATGACGATGATGACGAGAACGAGACCACGAGATGGTGGCGACAATGACCGTGAAGAAGATGAATAAGATGAAGGGCTGGAGCTGATGCTGATGATGTTGATGATGGTGGTGATGATGATGGTGGTGATGATGATGATGGTGGTGATGATGGTGATGATGATGATGATGATGATGATGATGGTGATGATGGTGATGATGCTGGTGATGATGATGATGATGATGATGATGATGATGATGATGATATCGATCATCTCGGAAGTGACGATGCTCACAATAAAAACGACGGCGATCCAACAGTAGCAGAAACTCGAAGGCTAGCGAGAGTAGCGTCATACTCAGCGAGGGCGAAAGGGCTAAAGCCTGAGGACCGGGACAAACACACTCTCCGGCGTCGCTGCACCTTGGTCCACTTGCTGTGCTGCGACCGTGGATGCAGCTGCGTTTGGGGCGGTATCAGTTAGTTCCCCAGTTCACACAACGAAGCGAATAGTATCGAACGCTTGCGCTCAGATGCTGAGTCTATCGAGCATTGCTGAGCGCATGACACGCCAAATCCATTGCAGGTCGTTGCACCATCACCTGTCGACACATGTTCATTTGCAGGGAATAAGATTCTGTGCGCCGTCAGAACACTCCGGGCCCAGCAATGGATCTGGGCCAAGGGCAGAAGGTGTGGCAGCTGCCACTGGGATAGTACTTCGGTGCCTTGGCAGCCATGAGGAAATAACCGTAATCATCATCGTTCCGTCGACCGTTCGGTCAAGCTCGAATCCATCCCCCTCGGACACCGTGCACACTCGCTGCAGGTGGTACCCTGCCACCCACGGTTGCAGCCTGGCAGAAATGCCATTGGGCAGCTTCGCTCTTGCTATCGGCAAGACGGACCAGAATTAGAAATCCAGATCACTCGGATGACCTACATAAACAGGTCGGACTACTGCAGGTTCCGTCCGAAGGATCACCTTGGCCACAGATGTGCTTTGTGCGTTGCACCCCCTATGTCACACTGGCATCTCCTTGTGTCCCCGCGTTCTGACATGTTCTGACCAGGGTACTGCTCTTGCAACTATTTTTGCCAGAACTCGGAGAAGGCCTTGTTCACGCAACTGGGTCCAGCGCAGTAACTGGTCCCCAGGGAACTGCAAGAGCAAGTGTTCTCACAATGTGGCCCCCAGAACCTGGTAGCATCCGTGACAAACAGAGCGAGAGAGAGAGAGACATAGACAGAGGGAGAGAGACAGCGAGAGAGGCAGACAGAGAGAGAGGGATAGAGGGAGAGGCAGAGAGACTGCAAAAAACAGAGAGAGAGAGAGGGCGAGAGAAACGGAGTGACCATGCTGGCGGAGCATGTCTCTCGATCTGAAACTGATACTGTCAGGCTGTCAGGCATCCCACAAGCACTTGAATGCCACGGTGGTAAGGATGCCGCCCCTGCTTGCACGTGCAGAAGCCCTCACTGCAAGACCTGATGAAAGCGAGCATTCGTGCCGGTTTGGGCAGGTAACGGTTGGGCGTGCTTCCCTTGTCGGAGTCAGGTTCAAGTCCGTCGTGAAGCCACAGCCGATCCGTACACACCGAACTGAGCAACTGACATTGTGTTGTCCGCAAGGCAATCACTGCACGTTCGTTCCTGGGGCCGTATTGGCATGGATTTCTCTGACATACTGCGGCTCCAGATTCGTAGCTGCTTGTCGTACCAACGGTCCGTTTGCATGCATTCTCCCCCGTGAGATCGGACTGCTGCATCGCGCCCCAACACCTTCACCCCCAACTCTCCGTCATGACACGGCCATCCTCATCTATCGAACGCGTGCTCAAACCCACTCTAGAAACTCTGAAACCAACATATCCACGGCCCCCGACACAGTTGTCTCCGTAGAAGGTGGCGAGGCATTCGCAGACAAATCCGTCATCATCGTCTGAGCCCAGCGATCTCTCTGTCCGCTTGAAGCTTCGGGCTCTGAAACTCGGCTTCCGGGGGCATTTTTTACACAGTCTGCTGTTCGGCTTCAAGGTTCCACGGCGAGGCTGCACTTCAGGTTCGCGGCGGACTTGGAGCTCGAATCTACGGGGGTTCGAAACTCCTGTCAGACGCAGACACACCTGGCAGCAGGTTGAAGATGGTTGAAGTCTTTTGACGCTAAACCCTAAACCCTAAACCCTTTCGATCTTGGGGACTGTGGACCGCACCCTCGACGCAAATTCCCCGAGTGCTGCAGTTCGTGCACTCGTCCAGGGCAGCTGAGATGTTGATGCCCGGCGTCTCCTTTAGGGTTTAGGGTTTAGGGTTTGACTTTTGAAGCACTTGGTTGCATACGGTGTTTGTCGCGACTGAGCGACTCATGTCAGTTTCAGAAGCCAGCATGCTACGAGGCTACCTCCACACATACGTAGGCCTTTATTTCAAAGGTATCACCAGAGCGCAATGCAGAAAAAAAAGCAAGCTGTCGGATGAGCCCGTGACACAAAAGTCGCCATCCCATCGAACATCACACCGGCAAGCTCCGTCAACGCAGATGCCCCTGCCTCGGTACAAAGTTCGACTGCCGGATATCCGCTGCCCTTCGAGAACTTTCGGACTCTGCTGCTGGGCTGAGGATGCAGCTGTTGCAGGTGCAGTCACAGCTGTCCCCGAAGTACCACAAGTCGCACTGACACTCACCACGCCTCAGCAAGCCAAAGCAGAAGCAGTGAGAACTTCAGGATGACCCCCTAAACCCGTGCAAGCTTCCGACTCCCCGACTATCCCCGACCGTACCCATCTTGGGAACTGATCTATCTGCGGTTTGGGCAACAGTGGCATGTGCCCCCTAAAATGGCCTGGTTGTGTCTCCACTGTCATGTATATGCAACATTCGTATGATAGACATCGGTTTATATGTGGGCACCAAACAGAATCGTGCACACAATTAAAGGTACGCACAGCGAAAAGAGCGTGCTTGGATATAAATCCAGGCATGGGGACAACACACCTCCCTGCAGCGCAGGGATGCGTAAGGCTCTATGTGAGGCATGTCTGCAGATACAAATCTGCACATATGAGTAGTTCTCTAAATCTGGTCCCTTTTTTAGGGTCCTGTTTATAAGGGTGCAGTATTTGGGACCCAAAAAGGGACCCTAATTTAGAGAACTACCCATATCACACTGCTGTCCATTTGCGTGTGCGCGGGGACCATGTCGTAGCTCGGCCCTCGGCTCTGTGCAGTCTCCGAAGTTGGAGCAGGTCTCGTTTCGCGTGCAGAAGACGTCGCAGAACCCTGGCGTTGTCGGGCTGAGCGCAAGAGCAGCAAAGTCTGAATTACCTCAACATTCGCGATTTATAGGAGCTGCATCGCACTAATCGTGCTCCCACACGCGGTATTAGTGTTGCAGGCATAACTGATGGGTTCTGCTCGAGGTAGCATATTCACGGTTACGGGAGGTTGAGGCAGTGTGTGTTTGCTGTAAACCTGAATAAGTTGAGTAGTTCAGCTTTTCTTGAAATATGGTTCGTGTCTTTCAGCCGCGTGTCGAAACTTCGAGACCAGAAAACATGCTAGGGCCGGCCGTCGGGATGAGAGCGGTAGTATCCTGCAAGGCGGGGAAATGGAGAAGTCAGAGCCTGAGGTTGGTGGAGGGATAGCGACCTGTTTTTGAAGAGGCTTACTGGATGAAAGTATTCCAAGGTGTTTTGGAAACAGGAGCAAGCTCAAAAATCCGTATCCCAAAGCAAGCACGCCTCCATTTTCTCCGGGCTGGGTCACCGTCTACTACCTGGTAGCCTGTACCAGGACCCCTGCACCAGACCTCAGAAAGCTATGGGAAAAACACGCACGCGTCCCTCGGGACACTGCGCGCCGACGTGTTTCGGCCTGTCCTGATTCTGTGCCGCCGACCGTCAGCTGAAAACAGTGAGGCCACGCGACCGGATAAAGGAATGACCGGGATGAGCAACAGACCACACTGTCCGCGGTTGCGGACAGCATAAATGTCTCCGTTAGACACCCCGATACATCGGAAGCACTTCCGGAACTTCGCGCATCAGTCTTTGGATGCGGCGTCTGGTACGGTCTCTGGCATTCTCTCGGCCTGCTGGCAAGAACTCAGGCTGCTCCCGAGATGACGCTATGCGATTTGATTCTATGCAGACACCTGTCTTGAAAACATCACTAGGCTGATTCGACTGAAGGCCAGAGGCCGACATGGCGCGTGCAGAGTACGTGCCTAGCATTAACATATTTACATCAGCGGCCCTGTCAGCCACCAGCGATGAACTTTGACTTGCGATTCGGCACCTTGAATGCCTGTTCTGCAATCCTCGACGACGGATCAGCAGAGACTGTGGCTTCGAACCCTGTGCTCCTGTTCCTGTACAGGGCTCTTCCCGAACCCGACACGCAGCTCAGGCGTGCTCCACTTCGTCCAGCATGCTTCGGAAGACTCCCTGCTCCTTCTCCTTACAGCATGGTGCCACCCATCCACTCCCGAGATTGCTGATGCTCTGCTTGGTAGCACAAGCTTGCTGGCTGATCTTGCCCCTGCCGCGGCTTATCGTCCTGCTACGACATATATATATATATATATGCATACGCACTCCAGTTTTGGAGTCTTGTTCATGACGATCGGTGGCGATGCTTTCATCGATGGTCCAGAATCGAGGGCGGATTAAGGATTCCTTATGAACTCCCACGCTTGGAGCAGCTCCAGTGACAATATCCTGTCTTCCCAGTTATGGCAAAGCTCACGTCTGGACGGACCGTGTGCAATGCAGCAAAGCATCCCGCAGCACCTGCGGCGAGTCAAACTCTGCAATCTGACCATCAGCAAGGACCAGAATGCGCTCGCAGTCGATGATGGTCTGCAGACCTGACACTTTCCGCCACTTGAAAAACTTACGATCTACCAGCTAGCCCTCCGTTTGCTTCAAGAGCCGCAGCCTTTGTTCATGAGAATGGAACATCGCATCCCTGCCCTGAACCTCAAGCACGATGAAGCTGCGGTACACCGACCCAAGGCTCCAAACCTCCCCAACCCCTTGCCCGGTTCACATGCTGCGAATCCCAGGGGCGGTGTGCGATGGTGAGGGATGAGGCGCCTGTAAAGCAGCGGCGGATGGCTTTCCTGGGCCCGCTGTCACAGCAAAACTCCCAAAAGTCACTCGCAGAGCTACCAACGCTCCATGCAGGTGTGCTCCTGCAGCTAACAAGCTTGGCAGATCGCTTTCGTCCAACAGTGCCCCTAGAGAAGAAAGCTTTTGTAATGTACAGCACGATCGAAAGTTTCAGGGCTTCGCGCCTCAGGTCAGGGAAAACGGTTTAGGGTTTAGGGTTTAGGGGATGTCCAAGAACAGAAAAACACTGGGATGTAGCCCTGGCACTGGAGAGCTTCGTCTGTGGAAGCATCAACAGCCGCCTCGGCAGTGGCTGCTGTTGCAAGACCCTCCCTAACTGCACAGAGCGTACGCAACGAATTTTCACAACCGCTAACAGTCTGGCATCGATTCGTAGAATTACAGAAGCGGAGGTCTAGAGGCCAAAATGACAAATCAGCCCCTCCCCGGTGCTCACCTTACAGGCAGGATGCCGAGCAACAAGGGCCGTTACACATCGAAGGAACTCAGGTCTCTGATATCGGCAAAAGGAAAGCAACTAAATGCTGCCACTCCGCGGTGGCTTCATCCAGCACCACCATCTTGGAGCTGCGCAAGACGGCTCGCGCGATGGCCACCATCTGCCGCTGACCAGCCGATAGATTCTGCCCTTGGTCTGCTTAAACGGGTGAGGGCCAGGGTTCGCAGGTAGAGAGAACTCCGCAAGTAAACAAGAATCGCGCGAAGGACTCATGGCTCTGCCAAGAACTTCTTACCAAGTCCCCTAATTCTTCGAGGGTATTTGACAAGCATATCGGATTCTGGTCCCAGCGACGGCAGAAAGTTCCGAACCCAGTTTCGTTCGAAAGCTATTGCTATTTTTTGCAACTCATGGATCGAAGCACATCGAAGCATATTATTGAAATGAAACGCAACTGTCCGTGACATACACCTCTCAGCATCGTAAAATTCCAATCAGGCGGCCGTTCTCCTTGATCTCGAGCGACAGCAACTTCTGCAGCTGTGCCGGTGGCAGATTCCTGCATCTGTCCTGAAACTGAGATCAGCTCTGCCCAATACTCCGTTGACTGTTGTTAGGAGAAAGTCAGGTGATGGTCCTCGTAACCACTGTCGGCCTCATCTCCGGCTTGGTCTGCAGGTCCGTCCTAAGGTGGTTCACGATTGTTGCTGCTGCACGCTGCTCCATGCACTCGTGTCGTTTCTTGATCCTACACCTGCCTTTTTGATTCATCTAGACGAGCACTGCGAGCACCAGCACTACCACTACCACATCCACCCCCCCCACCCCCCAAAGTTGACGCGACTTCTCCTCAACTACTACTGCGGTAGGGCGAAAGTTTGACCTACTCCCTGTCGTCGAATACAGGCCCCCATTCCCACCTAGAATCCTATCAAACAAGACCAACCGGCTACTCCGGAACATTATAGTAGGATAATTTCGAAACGAGGTATAAAATACTCTGCTGGCCAGGCCACGTAAATCACACTTTTCGATACTCCGCTACCCCGCAACACGTCTTAAGACAAGAAAGGTCCAGTAGATGTATGGACCAACCAGACTATGGATGTTAGAGCGACTACCAGCCATGAGATTGGATTGCAATTCTTGTCTGGCCTCGCCGCCACGTCGCCGAACCCAGGGCGCCAACTGGGCTTCTTCCAGTGCAGCCCAGATGTCCTCCAGTTTGCGGCGGAACAAAGTCTGGCCGTGAGCCGTGCAAGCCGTACAACTCTCAACTGACAATAAGACGGGTCGAGGATGGTCGAGGAGGGCTTAGTGACATCTTCACTGCGAAGTGTGCAGTGAAAGAGCCTCGCAAAACAAGCCCAGAGGGCAACCTGTCCGATCTTGATTGCCTCGGGTCTGTGCTGGTCGAAGGGATCGCAGTTGTAGCGGAGAGTCTCCTGTACGAAGCGGACGATACTCGCAAGGGGTGCGGGGCCTCTCTCACTATTTCCCAAGCCCTCTAGCCAACCAAAACGAAGGTGAGTTCCAAAAGGAGCTTCAGGACAGGGTCCTGGAAGAGGACTGGCTCCTGTGGTATCATCGCCACCGCACGCCTCAGGTCCTGCAAGCCCATCTGCAAGATGTCCTGGCGCGGAAAAGGGTCTTCAAGCAGGGCTTTCAAGCAGTCTCGAGGGCCTCAAGGGGAGCGCAAGCGTGAGACGCAAGCAAAACACCTCCGGCGAGACTTTCTTGTTTACTTACCGCAGGCTTACCACTGAGCTGCGCTCCTTTCATTCAAACCACGTTTTAGGGTTTAGGGTTCAGGGTTTAGGGTTTAGGGTTTAGGGTCATGTCCGTTCATCAAACTACGAGAAGCTCCTTCCTGACAGCGAACCCTGAAGCCAGGAGACTCCTGACCATCCAGTTCGATGGAAGAGCCCAGCTCCTTTTGGATCGAGAGGAGAGGCTTCCGTTGCTTCAAGTCTGCAGCGATTGAGATGCCTCAAAGCTTATCATGCATGAGGCAAGTAAAAGACGAATGAAGGAGCCAACTTTTCAAACGTCAGAAGCCCTGGCACCCGAAGTCCCCCAAACAGCACAGAACGGCTTCGAGCTCCGGCTCTGCGATCCGAAGAAGAGCCAGAAGCAGCGAGGACTTGCCCGCGCCAGTCCGCCCTACCACGCCTTCGGATGATGCTGTAGGGTCCCCAGGGTGGAGATTTTCTCGCGCGTGCAATGCTTGGCTTTGCACTATTTGCACGTAACCTTGAACCTCAATACATGGGTAAAGCCTGCTGCGAGATTTGGGACGGTTTGGGTCAGTGTAGGTATTGAATTGAGGCTTACCTGGCCGCATCCTTCGCGGAAACAAACAAGCCGGCTCTTGACAGAACATTCAACTGCTCGCTTTGCAGCTCGGGTGCCGACGCGTTCGCCCTCCTTCATGCTGAAGCTGAGGCCCTTCAAGACCAGGGGCAGGTGCGGCTTGTAACCTGAAATTTGCGATGTTTCGCTCGAGAAAGGGAAGGAGTGTCAGCCACGGTCATATCGCCTAACAAACTCTTCGTCAAGCTGCTTCGTACACTGCTATCATCTCCTTCCCACGCAAGTGTGCTAAAAGCTGCATTGACCCCAAACGTCCCCCTGAATCCGCAATCTGGCATACCCCCGACCCCACCGGTGACTCGCCGAAAAGCGCAACTGAAGGTTCTTCACCTCAAGCAGATGAGGCAGAAGGCAAAGTACAACGCATATGAGATTAGGCGAACAGGTCCAGGCAAAATGAGGCGGGATGGCATCATTGCGCTGTTGCATTGTGAGGAAGTTGGACTGCTGGAAGGTAGCAGAGGTCAAACAACAAGCAGGCAAAGAGCCACCTGAGCCCTCAAACTATGAGACCCTTGTGCGAGTCATGACACTTCCCCTTATCCAAAAAACCAATCATGAAACCTCCAACTTTTTGCTCCTACAATACCGTCTCAATCCTCCACCTAACCCCTAAACCCCAAACCCCCATAAATGCTAGACCTTACCCGGCTCTACAACTCCCTGCCTCGCCTTCAATACGCCTCGGTCCGGCCATCCCGCAGGAGGCCGCGAGGCAGCCACCACCGGCGCCTCGCTCGGAAGCTCCTTTGGCCGCGGGGGGAGGATTTAGGGTTTGGGGTTTAGGGTTTAGGGGGTTCCGTGGTCCTTGGAACTCTACGCTACCCTCAGTTCTCCTATGACGACCGGCATGCATGTGACTGCATGTGCATCTTACTGGTTCAAACGAGCTGGAGGGCTAAAGAATTGGTGTTGGCCTCTGCCTATTCGCCAGCCACATCCCACGAAACTGGTTCTCGCTTGAACTGTACCATACATCATCTTGGTATCCTACATGGGACGGAGGCGTACTGCAGCAAAGCCGTGCACCACTGTACTGCTCTCTGGGGCCGCTCTAACCAGATCGAGCTTCTGACCACCGTGGAACACTGCAGGCTCTCACACTCACGCCCTACTATGCAGCCTCATACAAAATCACGCAGAGCACAGGGTGAGCGTTCCATTGCAAACTCGCTGGCGCGACCCGAAGAAGCTTACATGCAAGCTTGCATGCAAAGCACGAGAATGTACGACGCAACAGGGCACAACCAACAGCTCCTCAGCGTAGTGCCGCACACGCTCGACGCAGTTGAAGGCCATGCCTGGGCAGAAAAAGCACCAGCCACGGCTGTTCAACCGCTCACTCTTCAGCCCTTCGGCAGAAGGCAAGCTGAAGACCCGGGCTAAATTCTGCAACCTGCCCAATGAGCTGCTCAATGCTGCCGGCACACCTGGGCTGTGCTCTGTCAGCATGGATTTCGGATGAACAAATCTGCTTTCTCGTCGGCTTCTGCTGCTGGCCACAAGCCCTGCAAACAAATATGCTAAACCAGCGGCAGATACTACCTCTTCGACTCGGGATACACAACTTCGAAGTCGAATGATATCTGAACACTCTGTTGCCCAGATGCTAACCCTAGGTCCCCCCTTATAGATCCAAGCTCTGAACACGCCGTCGTCCCCAGCTCAGTGGCCTTCTCATCCGAGCCAAGCAGCTCGCCGGCGAAGTTCAAGACCAGAGCCGCCGTGCTAGCTGACACGAGCCTGGGTGGTGGCACGCTCCCCCCAAAAAGCCCAGGCACGTAGTCATGTAGAGTCCTCGTAGAGTCCCCGTAGAGTCCTCGAAGTCCGAAACATGGCAGGTCGAAATTGCCTGTCCCGAAGCTCGTGTGTTCAGAGGGATCGTAGGTATGAGGGTCGTCACATTGGTTCCGGTGTCACCTTTCCCTGGCTGAACTTGCTCTTTGCAGAATTCCTCTGTAGACAATCAAGCAGATGCAATGTGCTGCAACTTTTCTTTGCATGTATAAACTCTGCGACACATCTGAAGCAGAGTGAAGGAGAACATTCTTGCTCTAGTACGATGTGACGCGTGACGTGTTCGAAGGAAGATACCTACCCAAGATTGGCACTTTGCGGCCTATCACTATGCTGGAGAAAGCCCCATCGGGCTGTACAAACCGGGGCATGTCACTCAACAACTTGCCGAAAATATTTTTCGGTGCTTGAGGCACAAGCATTGCTACGCCGTGCCAAACCTGAGCATGCTCGTAAAACGGTCCACAGACCCTGCTGGCCAGAAGCGTTTGATGGCCCAGTGCGATGAACACGGACCTTCGCACGAGAAGGCATTCTCGACCAAGCTTGAAGTTGAGCTTGTATAATCTGTGACACGACCAGGCGTGTTACAGTGTTTCTAGAGGTGCAGCTACTGGCGGTGCCCCTGAGCCTCTGACACAAGCAATGTGAGGATGGAGCCAAGCATTTCGATGCGAAGAGAAAACCACGCCGAGAGGAACAACTGCGTGTAATCCTTGGACTTTCAAGTCTCATGCCGAACACTTGAGAGGAGTGGGGTTGCTAGGGGTAAGAAAACTCCGGCTCTCCTCCCGCAAAAGGCCAAAGAGCAGGTCTTTGCTGGTCCACGATGAAGCCATCACTCGTTCTACCTGGGCGCTCCAACAAGCCACAGGCTGACTCAACCATGCCATCAGCTAGTCGTTCGAGCTGATGAATACCGGCAACCAGCAGCAATGAGAATTAAGAGAAAAACTTCGAATCTTCAAGCCTTGGCACACTGCTGCTCAGCTTGCCTGAAAGCTCTGACCACACTGATGGCATTCTCCCGACACAAGTTGTTGAAATGGTCGTACACCTGACATGAGATTCTGAGTTTGTCGCAACTTCAGGCCACCTTTCCGGAATCCAGGCTATCTTTCAAGATTCGTGCAGTTTCTTGGCTGATCCAGATGAGGGCTGGGCACCTTCATGCTGGGATGCGACACTGCATGCGGCCCCGATGTCGCAACCTCCTTGCAGGACCCTGCGCTACAGATCTGAGCTTTGATCGGCGCCATGATATGGCGCCGCGATGATGTTGATGATGTATGGTGACGATGACGATTATGATGACTATGTTGGAGTAGCTGTCGTAGCGGTAGCGGTAGCAGTGGCGGCAGTAGCATTAGTAGGATTTCACCCAACCCGGGAATTGGCTGGCGGTCGCTGTCTTGCCGTGAGAAGGCTGGGACCGTGATACACATGCAACCGCAACGGCCGTTTTTGTCAGTTCAATGCCTCCACATAGGGTTCGGACTTCAGGCTTTCACTTTAGATTCGCACCTGAATGGTCCACTGGAGCATCAACTCCGCACGATACATCCTAAACCCGACTGCTGCTTCAGCAAGGCACGTGGCTGCCCTGGACTTTGGAGATGCGCTTCACGTCGAGGACGGCCTTGTTGTAGTACCTGCAGGCTTGGCTCAAAATAACAACCTCCTCCAATCCGACTCCCCACCACAAGCTTGTGTACACCCCGTTGTTCTGTAAGCTTCGAGTTGCTAGCAGCTCGTACTGTTGATGACATACACCGTGCGTGACTTTGAGTTAACCCAACATCTTCCATCCAAACCGTGAATCTCAATGTTGATGTCAGCGGATAGGTAATGCAGCATTCACATCATTCGCGCGGTCCTGTTGGTGCACATGGGTTGTAGGGGAGTTGCCTGTGTCTTACAAACTCATGCAAGATTTATATCATCCACCGTATAGATCGGAAATGATGAGCTCAGCTGCTTCCACAGCTTGTAGTAGAAGTAGAAGGCTGGCAGGAAGGCGAGGACGGCGTAGTAGGCAATACCAGCAACCTAACTTTGCCATGCAGCGAAGCGGCTCTCGCTGCAGTGTGTTGCTTCGCTTCCCGGATCTAACCCCCATGACTCGCATCCGAACCCAAGCCTCCTGTGACAACAGGTGCTTCTGGTATGCTGCGCCCAGGTCCTACGAGTACTCCAGAGTTGGTGGTTATGTTGTCCGTGCCGCTTCGTAGTTCCTACAAGCCGCTCTGAGGCTCCGATTCCGACATCATCGCTCGATCGTAGATGCAAGTTTGATCTCGGCCCTCAACACGCACGGGAAACTTACAAATCCTGACCCTAGACCACCAAAGCTTGTTGCCTCAACGCTATAGACCCCGAAACCGGACACCAACTGCAGCAATGTGGCCATGGCAAAGTTGCCAACGACTCCTAACACGGGCACGAAGGTGTTGATGATGTTCCAAATCACCTCCTGCCAGAATGACTTCCTGTAGGAAGTCCCGGTGAAAACTGCTTGCGTCGCAATTTCGACATTTCAGCTTACAAAACAGACTTCGTCTGCCACGCTTAGAAGGCGCATCTGCAGTCCCGAAGCAACACCCCGCCTTGTCAATTTCAGACATGTCCTTTGAGAAGCGGTTGATAATCCGGCCCTGCATCAAGAGGTCAGTTGTTCTGTCTCCCAGGTTCAGCTCGATGTTCTAATCAAGGCGACCCCAAGAACCAAGCCTTATGGCCGGGCCTTTTGGGATCTTCGGGCAAGGCTTCACAGAGGGTAGAGCTGATTAGCCCGTCATTCTTTTCACTGCTGCTTGTTGGGGCTTTCTGGCCAGTGCTGGTGCTCGCTGGCACTAGCAGCGCGTGGCGTAAAGCTTACGATACCACAATGGGGCTTCAGAAGGTCTTCTGACCAGCCAGCCAGGTTCCGATATTCCGGAGAACCGTCTCTGCAGTGCCTGAGGGGTGTCCTGGAAGAAGGACATCGGCGCACGCAGCACAGAGGTCCACATTGCCAGGTGCAGCCGCCTCAACCAAACAGCTACTAGACAGTTCTACCGATCATCTTCATCTTTGCTATTTGGCCGTTTGACGTCGTCACTATCACCAGCAGCAGCAGCAGCAGCAGCAACAACAACAACAACGTCCTAGCCGCCCCCAACCCAAGGAGCTGCTTAAAACTGTATGATCCTGGAACCCTTGGACGAGAGCCTTTAGCCTCAACTTGTCTTCTCACGAAGAGTGCACTGGTCAAAAAAGCCAGAAAGCCACCATCATCACCATGAGACGACGACTGCAACTTTCCACGAAACACAACCACACTGGCGCTGCTACTAACAGCTTTTACTACTGATCCCATGTGTTGATGGAATCACTACCGGTGACTGGCTGCTGCTGCTGCTACTGCTGCTGCTACTGCTGCTGCTGCTCGGACGACGCAGACTACGGTTACCATGTGGCCAGTCACGGGTCCCCCCCACGCGGAGGCAAGCCTCGCGGCCATAAAGCCGTAGACATTACCCGCCAAGTCGCCTGACAGATCAGATGGAACTCCATGAATCCCAGCAAAAGGCAGGATGCGATCGATTCTGCTGCTTCGCAGGGAATGCAGAGATGCTGTGACGGCTGTCGGAAACATGCTCCGCTTCCTCGATTACGGTTCATCTTCGGCTCAAGGGGCTTCAGACACTTGCTGCCACGGCACGGAGAGTGGCCAGTATAATGACCTCGTCAGCCGCGAGTGTTTGTGGCGATCGGTTCAGGGTCTGGAGGCTGCCGTTGATGCTGCAGTTGCTGTCAGTATTGCTCCTCTGGCTACTGCTACTATCGCTCCTTGGGCTACAGCATCTGCCTCCTCCTCGTGCTGCCGCATTAACTGCGACCAGTATGACTGCAGGTCGGGCTCGGCTACCTGCTACGATGGCGACTGTATATTGCTGCCACGCAATGTAGCTTGGCCGTGACATTGGTCTTCCGACTGCAACCAAGCCGAGATCGAGGTGCAGGCTTTGTTGAGCCCGGGTGAGCAAGTGCTGGAGCGTCGCCAGGGAAGAGTCCAGACGGTGCAGTTGCCGAGCTTCAAGAAGGAAAAGAACGCGTGCAGTCACTGTTGCAAACCATGTTGCCATCGTTCCTCTACACAAACTTGTCTACAGATGTCGGGTTCTCCACACCCGCTTTGAAATCACACGATTGCACCGACACCCCAGAGCAAAACCTGCGTAGACAAGCGGCAAGAATACTGAGAATCACGTAGACGGACAGGTAGTGCATCCTTGCTGTTTCAATACACATATATGCATACTATCTATATCTATGTCTATATCTATATCTATATCTATTGTTACTGCTATTATTATATTATATTATATTATATTATATTATATTATATTATATTATATTATCTTATCTTATCTTATATTATATTATATTATATTATATTATATTATATTATATTATATTAAATTATATTATATTATATTATACTATATTATATTATATTATATTATATTATACTATACTATACTATATTATATTATGTTATATTATATTATATTATATTATATTCTATTCTATTATATTATATTATATTATATTTTATTATATTATATTACATTCTATTCTATCCTATTATATTATCTTATATTATATTATATCATATTATATTATATCATATCATATTATATTATATTACACTATACTGTACTATA